CTCCTTCGAGACCTGCTTCTCTATGCTGCTGGTGTGTACCTTGCTTAAGCTTGAAGCTGGTGAATCCTTTTGCTGTGATTGAGTTTGAGATCCCACCAGGGCCTGCTTTGCTAAACTCTCTAGCTACTGACTGTTGCTGACCCACCCTGCTGCCTGCTGCATACGGGCAGACTCTGCCTGCCTTGTCTGAGGGAAGACTCCACTGTCTGCTTCCTTGACCTTGGACCTGGCAACACATGTGAGTTGAAGGACTTCTAGTACATTAATTATTTCACAAAAGTGAGTTGAATTCAGCCCTCTGTCCTGCTGTTTGGACTAATTAGCTGTTATATTCCTTTTCACTGTATAAACCAATCTCTCTATATAAAATCATAAGTGTCCTGGTTTTGCTTCTCTAGAGAGCCCTGCATAACACAACACAACACAAAAGCTCGCACATCACCAATAGCTGTCCCATCGTGCCAAAAAAAAAGAGCAGTCAAACACTATAAATACACAAAAATCAAGAAAAACAAGCACAAACAACTTAAAATCACCCGAATTCCAATAGGGCACTCTGATGAACTACAGAATTCAGAAACAAGGATATTTAGGTCCTTTCAAGAGATGTAGGGAACACTCAAGAGAGTAATAGAAGAAATTGACATACTAAACCCAAAAATTCCCAGAAAAAAAGAAGAAAAATGAGATAACAGAATTAGTCAACCTAGTAAAGACCTGAGGGAGAGATTGGGAAAAACAGAAAATAGAATCAGTGAGCTTGAAGACAATCACTCTGACTACAACCGATGATGGAACAATCACCCCCCAAAAGTGAAAGAATTAGAGAAGAGGACAATGTGAGATACTACCAAGAGAAACAAGCTACATCTCATCAGGATCTTAGAACAAGAGAAATAAAATGTTCTACAGATAAAATAGTAGGAGAAATCATAGAAGAAAAATTCCCTGACATCACAAATGAGGAGAAAATAAGTATTCAAGAAACTAAGATAACCCCAAACACGATAGATCCTAAAAGAAAAGCATCATCACATAAGGTAGCCAAACTATCCAATTTCAAGGAAAAGTAAAGAACCTTAAGAGCAGCTAGATAAGAAAGGATAGCATCAATGATTGAATAACCCCAGCCAATGGGATTGAACAACAGAATTGTTTTGTGTATGGATATATTGGAATGTGTAACATATGTCAATAAGATTATAGGGGGAAAAAAGATTTATCTGTATGAGCCAAATGACAGCAGCCAGGGTCTGAAAGATTGAAGAGGAAAGATTCGATAAGAGTCAGTGAGCCTCTGCTAATGACAGAGAGTCAATTAAGGAAAGGAGGGTGGAAATGGTTGCATAACTAGAAGAACACAGTAAAGTAGGCCACTATAATCAATTACACATGTAGACATTATTCAATAGGGATGTTCTGCTGTGTACATCCTGATAACAACATCCAATAAAAGGTTTTAAATGATAATAATGACACTATCAATGAATTAATTGCTCTAATAAAAGTACAGAAAGTAGCAGACAAGGTAAGAAAACATGACCCATCTATATACTATCTTGAGACACACTATCTCAAAGACACAAATAGACTAAAATTCAGATGATGACAAAAACATCTGCCCAATCAATGGCACACATAAGAGTAGCAATATTAATCTCTGATAAAACAGACTTCAAGGCGAATAACACAAGGAGAGACAAGAATTGACACTAAATAATGTTTAAATGAAAAATACATCGAGAACATATAACCTTAATAAACATATATGTACCTAATGAAACATTCTTAGAACGCAGCAGTCAAATACTAACAAAGTATAGAAATAAACAAAGGAACAAAATAAAGAAAAGTTAACTAGCACATGAAAACAGAAAATAAAACCCAGATGATTAATAAAAATCAGAAATAGATAATACCTTGGAAAACCACAGAAGTATACTTGGAACCAATAGAAGACAAAATTACTGAGATTGCATTCAAATCACTTCATACTAATTTGTTAAAGCAACAATGGGAGAAAAATGAAAGAAAAAACAACAGGAAAGAACACTGAAGGATCTTGTGGTACATCACCAAGAGTAACCGCCTACATGCGATTCCAAGTTCAGTACTGCTCACATGTCCGACCACCCGAAATGGTGGCATGGTGGCTAATTCTTCTTGGTACAGTGATTACAATTTCAGAAGAGCAAAAGACAATAAAAAACTTTTTAAAGTTATGAAAGATTCTTTGGAAGAAAATTTGTCTAACATCATGAAAGATGAGGTGATATGTAGTCAAAAAACTCAACAATTCCCAAACTAGGTAAACCCCACCAAAAAAATCACCAAAATATACATACCATAACTGAACTTTCCAAACCCAAAGACAAGGAAAGAATCCTGAAGACAATTTGGGAAAATTAGTCACTTATAAAGGATAACCATGAAGACTAAACTTTGAATCTTAGCAGAGACCATGAAGGCAAGAGGCAATAGTGTAATAAATATAAAATTCTGAATGAAAACAAAATTTCCAACCAAGAATTGCACAGCCAGCAGAAGTAGACATTAAATGCTAGGTGCCATCAAATCTGTCCCCCAGCCAGAGGGGCCCCATGCACAACAGAACCTAACATTGACTGGTCCTGCTTCATCTTCACCATTGGTCTTATGCCAGAGCCCATTGTTGCCACTGTGGTGCCAATCCATCTCCTTGAGGGACTCCCTTTCTCTTGATGCCCCTTTACCAGGAATCATGTCCTTCTCCAGGGTCTGGTCTCTCCTAACAATATGTCGAAAGTATGTAAGATGTGGTGTTGCCATTCTTCCCTAAGGAGAATTCTGGCCTTGCTTCTTCCAAGACAGATAGGCTTGTCCTTTTAGCAGACCGTTATACAGTACTTCCAATTTTTAACAGACACACTGTCTTACAAAGATATGGATAAGGAGGAAGCAGACTTAGGGAAATCTTCAAAATTTCAAAAATAAAGATTAGTTTGATGTTAGATTTCATTAACACTGCCATAGCTTAAACTCGGTTTGCCGTAGAGAAGACGGGGGTCCAAGAAGACTAATTCTTCCTGGGTTCTGTCTTGTAGAATAAGGCAGATAAAAACCCTGTAGAAAGTGTGCATCCACAGCAGTGAAAGCAGCATGTGCAAAAAAGCAGAGGCAAGAGAAAAGGTAGAGCATGTGTGTATATGAGATTTGAAATAGTTCACTTTCCTGATGTTGTCAGGATTCTGACAGTTCGAATGTTCAATAATGCTTTTGGCTCATGATAATGACTCGTTATTACCAGGAAATGTGTGTGTGTGCATATGTGTTGTAGTCTTGTATGTTTTTTACCTAAAAATATTTCATTATTTTGCCTATTGAGGTTTTCAATCTCCCCTCTTTCTATCTTTTAAGTGATATTATTTTCACTCTTACTAGGAAGGTTTTATATGTTGTCAAATTTAAACTTACAACTTAACAAATGAATATTGGCCATTATTTATAGTAGAGTGTACTAGAGAATTGATTGTGAAAGATGTAGGCCTCTCCCCACCCCCACTGCCGGCCCCCTTAATCTGGACTTTATTTGAAAGTAGTACCTAGGTCTATCTCCATGAAGAAGTAGAATTTAATAATGATTGTGGTCAATATATCTATCATAATTTGCATTCATTTTCTGGTTGCTGTTGGATGAAAACCTGTGGTTAATAGTGACCAGTGGACTGCAGTAAAATGATGAATGTTACCTAAATTTTGAGCAATTAAGCTGAAATGTCTTTTATATCCCTCTTCCATTGACATTAAAATTCTGAGTTAAGCTGTTATGGATGGCTAGATATAGAACAAATCCCAAGAGATGCCTACATCACCGTAAGATGTGGAATAGCCAGTAGAAAAACATTTGACCTCTGTTCTCTGTTCTTTTGAGCCATGCCAAAACCTAAAGCTAATTAATGGAGGCTTAAAAGACTAAGAGGGATGACCAAACTCACTACTGTGGAGTGGATTCTATCTCATAGCAACCCTATAGAACAGAGGAGAACTACCCCCATTTGGTTTCTGTGACTAAATCTTTCCAGGGGTTCAATAAGCTAATCTTTCTCTCACCCAATGACTGGTAAGTTTGAACCTTTGACTTTGTGGTTACATCCCAACATGTAACCAACTATGCCACCAGAGCATGATGGAATCCATAAACATGAATATTGTATACTCTCTGTGAATATACATTAATAAGCTCAATAATTTCCATTATCAGGGATTTATATATATATATAAAACCATTCTGTAGTTGAATCATGTCCAGCAGAATTGTACATTTGTTACCACAGTTTCCAAACATTCTTTTTCTATATGGACCTGTTGACGTCATCATCCCTTCACCCCACCACCACCTCTGTGTCACCCCCAAAAAACCTTATTCCACTTGCTGACTCTATGAGTTTATCAGTCCTAGTTTTATACACCCAAACCAAAAATATATATACTGCAACTTCAAGAGGGTGACCCCAATGATATAACACTCCCAAGCTACCCCCTAATGTGGCCAATCAAAAACCAAATAAAACAATACACCCCAAAATACATACAATTTTGCAAATCAGATCAGGTCCAGCATGCATCCCAGGGAGAATCTACTGAAAAGTTTTAACTGTTTAAATCAGACCTTATTCTTACATCAACTGGATGCAAACCAATCACTTTTATTAAACTAAATCCTCCTAGATTGATGAGCTCCGATCCTATGAACTCTTAGTTAGCAGCTAATTACTCCAATCAACTGGCTTCAATCTACTTCTGCTTTGCGTAGAGGGCAAATGTGGGAGAAGCCTCAACAGAGTTGAAGCTGCGTCTTCTAATTTGCAATTCTAAATGATTGCTCACTTCAGGACTTAGTAAGTAGGAGTCTCAAACTCTTGTCTTTAGATTTACAGACTAATGCTTACTCAGCCATTTTACCTGTGTTCACCAGCCTTTGATTTTTCTCAACTAACCATAAAGACATCGGTACATTATACCTTTTATTCAGTGCTTGAGTCAGAAGAGTAGGAACTGCCTTCAGTCTTTTGGTCTGAGCTGAACTCGGACAACCTGGTGCATTTTTAGGCGACGAACAGATGTACAACATTATCGTCACAGCCCATGCCTTCATGATAATCTTCCTTATAGTAATCCCTCCTATAATCGGAGGTTTCGGCAACTGATTAGTCCCATTGATAATCGGGGCCCCAGACAGAGCTTTCCCTCGAATAAATACCATAAGTTTCTGGTGACTTCCCCCTCTTGCCATCTCTTACTAGCCTCATCTATAGTTGAAGCAGGAGTCGGGACCGGCTAAACTACCTACCCTCAGCCTGCAGGAAATCTTGTCCACGCCGGAGCATCAGTAGATTTAACAAGTTTTTCCCCTCCACTTGGCAGGAGTCTCTTCAATCCTGGGGGCAATTAACTTTATTACTACAGCAATTACTATAAAATCCCCATCTATAACTCAGTATCAAATGCCTTTATTCCCTTGATCAGTAGTAATTACTGCAGTCCTCCTTCTTTCTCTCCCTGCTCTAGCAGGTGGGGTAACTATGCTCCTCACAGAGCGCAAGGGGACCCAATTCTATCCCAACACTTACTTTGATTCTTCCGGTACCCAGATGTATATATTTTAATTCTCCCAAGATTCGGCATTATTTCTCACATTTTTACTTATTATTCAGGGGGAAAAAAAGAACATTTTGCATATATAGGCATAGTCTGAGCTATAATATCAATCAGTTTTCTAGGACTTATTGTGTGAGCCCATCATATATTTACTGTGGGGATAGATGTTGATACTCGAGCATACTTTACATCTGCAACCATAATTATTGCTATCCAAACAGGAGTAAAAGTATTTAGCTAATTAGCCACTCTTCATGGAGGAAATATTAACTTAACCCCAGCTATAATATGAGCCTTAGGATTCATCTTTCTTTTTACAGTAGGTGGATTAACTGGCATTATTTTAGCCAAATCTTCTCTAGATATCATTCTCCACGATACTTATTATGTAGTAGCTCTTTTTTATTATGTTCTATCTATAGGAGCAGTCTTTGCTATTCTAGGAGGATTTATTCCCCTTTTCACTGGCTATACATTAAGCCCTACATGAGCAAAAATTCACTTCACTATTATATTTGTTGGTGTAAACCTTACATTCTCCTCCCAACTTTCCTTGGACTTTCAGGCCTGGCACATCATTAATCTGACTACCCACACACTTGCACTACCTGAAACTGTTTCCTAAATTGGCTCTTTCATTTCTCTTACAGCAGTAATGATAATGGTCTTTATGATATGAGAAGCATTTGCTTCAAAACGCGAACTCAGACTCATACTGAGTGAATTAATGGATGCCCTCCTCCTTACCAGACATTCGAAGAGCCAACTTTTATTAAAGCCTAACAAGGAAGGAAGCAATCAAACCCACTAAAATTAGTTTCAAGCCAACTCCGTAACCATTACGACTTTCTTTGTGCGATATTATTAAAATATTATTGAGGTTTGTCAGAGTTAAATTAGAGCTTAAAACCCTATATATCTTTCATGGCTTATCCTTTCCAGCTAGTTTTCCAAGACACCTCCTCCCCAATCATGGAAGAACTCTATTTCCATGATCACTCTCTGATAATTGCTTTCTTAATCAGCTCTCCAGTTCTTTATATTATTTCTCTTATACTTAGTTAATTCGCACCAGTACAATAGAGGCTCAAACAGTGGAAACTATTCGAACTATCCTCCCAGCAATTATTCTAATCTTAATCCCTGTACCATCATTATGAATCGTATACATAATAGACAGCATCAATAATCCTGTTCTTACAGTAAAAACTCTAGGTCATCAGGGATATTGAAGTTACAAGTATACTGATTATGAAGACCTGAATTTTGATTCCTACATAACTCCTTCCAATGATGTTAAACCCGAGAACTGTGATTATTAGAAGTAGACAATCAAGTTGTTCTTCCTATGGAACTGCCAATTCGCATACTGATCTCGCCAGATGTCCTGCACTCATGAGCAATCCCATGCCTAGGCTTAAAGACTGGTGCAATCCCAGGGCGACTAAACTAAGCTACGCTTACATCAACATGCCCAGGCTTGTTCTATGGACAATGCTCAGAAATGTGTGGATCCAATCAAAGGTTTATACCTATTGTCTTAGAAATAGTACCCTGAAAACATTCTGAAAATTGATCAGCCTCTATACTTTAAGTCGTTAAGAAGCTAATTAGCATTAACCTTTTAAATTAAAGATTGAGAAATTTCCATCTCCTTAGTGATAAACTACAATTAGCTACTTCACCTTGATTTATCACAATTATATCTCTACTACTCACCTTATATATTATTCTACAAACTAAAATCTCCAAAATTTCAATTTACTAGGACCCTAACCCTAAAACTCTTAAAATCATGGAACACTCCAACCCCTGAAACAACAAATGAACAAAAATGTATTTGCCCTATTTACCACTCCAACATTAATAGGCCTACCTATTATTATTTTCATCATTGCTTTCCCAACTTTACCACTTCCTATATCCAATCGTCTAGTCAATAATTGTGTAATCGCCCTATAAAAATGATTAGTCTGCTTAATCCTGAAACAAATTATGTCTATTCATAGTGTTAAAGGATGAACATGATCCCTTATGCTTATTTCACTAATTTTATTTATTGGCTCAACAAATCTCCTAGGACTCCTTCCTCATACATTTAACCCTACAACACAGCTACCTCTAAATCTACCCTGTTTCCCCCAAAATAAGACAGTGTCTTATATTAATTTTTGCTCCCAAAGATGCGCTAGGTCTTATTTTCAGGGGATGTCTTATTTTTCCATGAAGAATATGGTACACATTTATTGTTTATTGTTTTATTAAAAGAGACCTCGCACTTCCTGTATGCTCCGGCTGTGCTGCGGCCAACAGTGAGCTGCCTAGCAGTGCCCACTGCTAATATAGTTCAGAGTCCAGTTACAGTAGCTTCAGGGGGCTTATTTTGGGGGAGGTCTTATTTTCGGGGGGATGCTTTATATTGCAGGAAGAGGCAAAACTTTAAGTAGGTCTTATTTCAGCGAGAGGCAAAACTGTAAGTAGGTCTTATTTTGGGGGACACAGGGTCGGTATAGCTATTCCACTATGAACTGGGGCAGTTGTATTAGGATTTTACCACAAAGCTAAAGCTTCATTAGCCCATTGTCTGCCTCAAGGCACACCCATTCCACTTATTACTATACTCATTATTATCGAAACAATTAGTTTGTTTATTCAACCCATAGCTTTAGCTGTATGCTTGACTGCTAATGTTACAACTGGTCACCTCTTAATTCACTTGATTGGTGGCGCTACCCTTGTATTAATATCAATTACCACAGCGACAGCCTTCCTTACTTTATTATTCTTCTTCTCCTTACTCTCTTAGAGATTCCTGTTGCCCTCATCCAAGCATATGTATTTACCCTTTAGTTCATCTTAATTTGCATGATAATTCTTAAGGACCCACCGAACTCTTGCTTACCATATAGTCAATCCAAGCCCATGACCTCTGACAGGAGCTCTATCAGCACTTCTAGTAACATCAGGCCTTACCCTTTGATTTCACTTCAACCACACTGCTTCTCGTTGGCCTAACTACTAACACATTAATTATATATCAATGATGGTGAGATGCAATTTGGGAGAATACATTTCAAGGACATCACACCCCTATTGTTCAAAAAGGTCTACGTTACAGAATAATCCTATTCATCATTTCTGAAGTCTTCTTCTTGGCTGGCTTTTTCTGAGCCTTCTATCATTCTAGTCTGGCCCCTACACCAGAACTAGGAGGATGTTGACACGCCCCTACCCCACCCCCACAGAGACAGGTATTTTACCCCTTCACCTGCTAGAGGTTCCTCTTCTCAATACTTCTGTACTCCTAGCTTCAGGGGTAACTATCACCTGAGCTCACCATAACCTTATAGAGGGTAATTGTAAGCAAATAATCATCATCCCTGCCCTTTACATTAATATCTTTACAGCCTTTTTTATAGCCTTATTAGGCCTAATAATCTATCGTTCACATCTTGTATCCATACTCTTATGTCTTGAAGGAATAATATTATCACTATTCATCCTTAATTCAACCTGCGATTTAAGTCTTCACTTTACTCTCTACTCCAAACTACCGATTATCCTTTTAGTATTTGTAGCACATGAAGCCATCCTAGGGTTATCACTATTAGTGACAGTATCTAATACCTATGGTCTAGATTATGTTCAAAACTTAAATCTTCTACAGTGTTAAAACTAATTCTTCCCACCTTTATACTTAATCCCCTAACATGACTATCAAATAGTAAGATTCTATGAATTAATGTAACAGCCCACAGTTTCCTAATTACTTTAACAAGCCTTTTTCTTCCTAACCAAACTTCAGACACCAGCCTAAATATGTCAATCCTATTCCTCTCAGATCCCTTGTCAACGCCCCTTAACAACATGACTTCTCCTTCTAATGCTTCTCGCCAGTCAATTCCATGTTAACAAAGGAACCTCTAACCCGAAAAAAAAAATGTGTATCATTATACTCACTACTTTACAGTGTTTTCTATTCATGACTTTCTCTTCAACTGAAATCATCATATTTTATATCCTATTTGTAGCCACATTAATTCCCGCCCTAATTATTATTACCCGCTGAGGAAACCAGACTGAACATCTAAACGCTGGCATTTACTTCCTATTTTATACACTCGTAGGTTCATTACCCCTCTTAGTTGTGTTAATTAATAGTCACAATATTCTAGGCTCACTTAACTTATCTTTAGTTCAATACTATATTCAACCCCTACCACTTATATGATCATCTAAATTCCTATGATTAGCTAGTATAATAGCTTTCATAGCTAAAATACCATTATATGGTCTTCACTTAAGACTACCTAAAGCCCATGTAGAGACTCCCATCACAAGTTCAATAGTCCTTGTCACAATTCTCCTAAAATTAGGAGGCCTACAGTATAATATGAATTACTATTTTCCTTGACCCCTTAGCCCAGAATATAGCATACCCTTTCATAATACTTTCCCTCTGAGGAATAATTATAACTAGCTTGATCTGCTTATGACAGAAAGACTTAAAATCACTAATTGCATATTCATCTGTAAGTCATATAGCATTAGGAATTATAGCTATCCTAATCGAAACACCATGAAGCTTCATTGGAGCCACCACACTAATGATTGCCCATGGACTAACCTCATCTA